TTCTTCAATTATTTTTTAAAAGTCAGGTCAAGGCTCCAAAAGCCCAAAGGCGATATAAGGGTGGCGGCTCACAACAGTTTTTGTTTGCTGGATCATTTTAGTTCAGCTTTCCTTTTGTTATATTTCTTTCAGTTCAAAATGTGTTAATTACATAAATAAAATGTCATTTTCTCTGTAGCACTTTATGGATTTCATAAGCAACACACCTTAGTTGTTCACACAAAGCATAAATGTAAAAAACAATATATACAGTGTTATCTTCATTTTAGATGTCAGAAAGTATTTGCGGCTCCCAGTGTTTTCTTTTGCATGGAAACCGGCTCCAAATGGCTCTTTGGGTGTTAACGGTTGCTGACCCCTGGTTAAGCCATTCAGCTTCTATATTTTGTCTCTACATTTAACCTTTTTATGACTCTTATTTCTTGTGCTGCCAAGAAAATGTATTACAAATGAATTATGAAGTGTAACGTATTCTACTCTCCGATTGGTTTGAAAGCTCAGCTAAACATAATGTGAAACTAGCTGAAACTGACAAGAGTAAAATTAGCCAGCTGAAGACTTCCCATTCAAGTGTCAGTGCTGTAAATTCCAGTCTGTGCCACTGTGGACATGAAATTCTGCTGTTGCTGTCACTCTATTGTGTCTTTTAAATTTGTTTATATTTGAGTACATAAAGTATTACCCACTTATTTTACAGTTTATCATAAAAAAAGAAGAAAAAAGAACCTTCAGTGACATGTGATTAACAAAGGTTTTCATTTTAATGCAAATATTTTGTACCACACAATTCTCTCCAACATGTAAAATGAGACACAAAAACAATGAAGCCAATCTTCATCCACTTGCAGCCACTTCAAACGGGTAGTGCTGAGGAAAGTCGTGAATGACCTTCAGGGCTTCATTATACAGCTCCAAATCTGTGGGATAAGCAGACACAGCACACTGTGAGTCACAGGTCAGGAACAAAACTTTACTCAATCAGTCTAGAGAGACGTACCAAAGGGAATGCCTTTGTCCTCTCGTAGGATGTTGTATGTGGTGGTGGTTATTACTCCTTTGCTGGACACCATACCAATGACCTCCACAATGCCACTCAGCTCTTCTTCAAGCTAAGAAAAGAACCAAATAGTTATTGAAAGTTTCTGAATGAAATTTTAAACCAGCCATTTTGCCAACACTCCACCTTCATTTTGCATTAATATTTTAATCCCCCCTGTGTTTATTGAAAGTCAACAATCTCTGCTCAAGACTTTCAATTCAGTTAAATTTATTTATATTTTAATATACTTTTAAAACAATATAGATGTAGGCAGATTAATATAATAAAGCAAAGCTACATCTTTAGCAATCAAGGCTTGGTCTGTACTCATTTGTCCAGTATCCTTAATCCTCTTAATCCTTAATGCTCTAATTGAATTTCATTCTTGCCTGAAATAGGACATACTTCTTTCCCCTGCTAGAGTAGGTTTCTTAACAGAAAACTCATTGTTGCAGCCATGGGCAGCCCACACTGACCCCTGTAGACTATTTTTCGTTTTAGTCTCCTTGACTCCACTGTTCTCTTATTAGTTAGCTAACATAAACTAATGTGAGTCTATCAACTGCAACCAACTACGGGTGGGCGGATATATCGAATATACTTGATGTATCTTAAGTGATTTGTTTGTTTGTTTCAATTTTTATATGTTATAAGCACAAAAGAGCGCCATTTTTAATTTCAGTTCTTTTATTTTGTCTCGTGAATTCTTGCTTTTTTTTTTATTGATATGCTCTTTGTTAAATGCAGTGTTGGGCAAGTTACTTTGCAAAGTAAGTAGTAATAGTTACTTCTTTAAAAAAGTAAGTGAATTAGTAACTCAGTTACATATTCTAAAAGTAACTAATTACTTGGTAAAGTAACTATAGCATTACTTTAAAAAAAAAAGTTTAACCCTGTGGGGTCCAGGGTGTAATTGGCTGTTTCTGACTACTTTTCATTTACCTCTAAATTTCACCTTTAAAAACTGTTCATCTTGGCTTGTTTGGTGTCATTCTTTTCAGCACAACCTCACATGTCTGAATTTACAGTTAGTTTTTCCATTTTGGCATTCTGTATTAGCACAACAATCTAAAAATCAGACTTAAAAACATAAAATCCGAGTAGAAGAGTTACGTTTTTTACTGTTTAACAAATCATTTTCATAACTTGAAATCCAGACAGAAATTGTACATTTTAAAAACCTATGCACAGTTTTTGCAAACAACAAAGTTAAATGCAGCTATTTACCTAAAAATGCAGCCAATGCATTTTTCTAACAACCATTTCAAACTATTCAGAACAATCAGGTATTCTGCATCAAATAAGATGGGACATAAATTATTGGTGCCTCTTCAAAATATAATTTCTGTCCACTATAAGATAAAGGCCCATATGGAAAAGAAATAGTAAAAACTTATATGATTTACTCATGAAAGTGGCCACTTTCTCATTACTTTCATGTATTGTTTTAGTAAGTATCCAAAACATACAAGTTTTATTATATAATTTTTCAAGGGATCTTATATCTGTTTTCACTCTTGTATGCTTTTCATACAAGTTTCACACAAGACAGATACAAACTTTATAAGATTTATATATATATATATTTTCCATATGGGCAAGCTTGCAGGTATCAGGCTTGTGATGTTCCCCACGCTCTTATTCCCATCACTGATTAAATGTGTAGTGTTGACCACAGAAAGAAACATACTGTGACTAACTACATAACTATGACA